CAGAGCAAAACAAATTATTTATTTTTTTGTTTTCACTTTAAGTTTTTTTCGCTCATTATAAGTCAGAAATTTTTTTAAATAATAGTATTTGTACAAAAAGAAATAGTTTGAAAACCCAACAAAACTTATTTCCCTTCATATTTACAGATTTATTACTCACTTACTAACATTTAGTCCTTCAACATCAGCATCAACCTTACAACCGGCAGTGGTTGAACGAAATGCTTCACCAGTTGATCTGCGGAGCGCCACTCCTTCCGGTAAAGTACCAGTAATCGCCTCTCCACCGATGCAAAATGAGTCAACTTCATATGAACCAGCAAGAATTCAAGAGAATCAAAGTACCCCAAAGGCATCAGTGGAACAAAATCCATCGCCTTTACAGCGGCGTCTTTCGAATTCTCAAAATAGGAAACAAGGCGTTTTGCATAGGCAGTCGACACTCGAAGCAAGTTCCGCAGCATTATTATCAGCGCTCTCAGTACTTGCTATTGCTTATTAAACTGGGGTTTTTGCAGAAGCTTGAAAAAAAAGGCTTCAAGTCATAAGAAGTGATACATATATTTGGCATGTTGTTTTCTGGTTTTAGTTATTTCTCCATGAAGTTTATTAGAGGATGGCATGTAAAGCGATAATGACTTTTCTCTTATGAGGAGAAACTTGCAAAAATATTTTTTAACAATCTTCTTTTAAGCCCTTACTTTTAGTCATCAGTTTTTGTCCTATTCTGGACTTAGAAAAACTTGCACAGTTTTGATCTGTAGAAGTAGGAAAGCATAATAATAATTTTAAGGCGGTTGTAAACTTTGGTTCTATTTTTCTTGATTCTCTGGGGGATTGCGATGTATCGCAAATTTCAAAGTGTTCTTCACCTACTAAAATGCTGTCGATAGTAAATTACTAGTTTTATAGAATGAAGCGAAACAGGATACCGGAATGTCACGAAAGCAGTTGAATGGTGGAGTTAGTAGCCGACGGAGTTCGATGCCTAGAGGAGACTATGTGAGCCCAAGTAATCAGGTTCCAGACAGGTCAGTTCTTGAGCCAAAACCTTCGTTTACTCAAGATCGAGCAAGAAGAGGAAGCCAATCATCAGCTTATTCGGCGCACGAGAGCAAAAAACATTTGGAAGATTCGCGTCACAGACCTGGTTCAGCATCAACCAGTAGTTATGATGATAACCGAATTTATATTGAGCCAGCATATCCAAATGAAAAGGAAACAAACAGGTTTGTGAATTTGGATTTTATAAAAATTTTTTCAAAGTTCTGGAAACTTAATGAATGTGTGTTGGTGTGTGTTTTAAATTTTTAATATGTGTTTTAAATTATTTTGCTACAAAAGTAATCTTTGGGCTGAATGAAAATTGTTGAAATGAAGTTTTGGAAAGTAAGGTAGTTGAGGTTTTTGATACATAGGGTATTTAGACTTTTTAAATTATTTTGCTACATTTTTTTTTCACAAAGACTGTTTGGACAGGAGTAAATTGTAATTGCTAGTCTAGGAGAGAAATATGTTAAAGATAGTTAGGGCACCTAATATTTTGTTGCAAATTTAGGTTAAACTTCGACGTTTGTGAAGGCTTATTACATGTTTAAACGGTGTCTCAGATGATCTTTATTATGAAGGTACTTTGGGGTTGAAGTTAGGTGGCGAAATTGGAGAATGAGTTTTGTGAGTTTACAATATCGACCCAGTCGTCGGGTTTGAACATTTGTGGTCTAATTGCTGTTGTAAATTTTTTTGGTTTCCGGTGAAAAAATAGTTGTAGTAGACGTTCAGCGGAACAAAAAATCGTTTCACGAAGTTGAAGTTTTTGCTCAAACAAAATTTTTTCAAGTTTTGACGATCAAAATGACAAAGATAATTGAGGTTTTAAGGGATAGCGTCTCTTGGCAATTTTTGAAGATATTTGTCGTTTGGGTTGATGCTGTCTGCTCTTCAGTGTATTGACCACTTTTTTATTACAAATGCTATAATTGTAAGTTGAGTACAGTGGCAAGTGAATATTTGCTCTGAGAATCAAGTTTTAGTTCTTGAGCGTTACCTTACAAGGCAAATGTACAACATTTTTGCCAGCGATTGACTAGCTTAGTGTTTCTGCTCTTTCTTTTTACCTCGACTCTTCAAAACACGACTTTTATTTCAGAATTGGAAAAACTTGAATAGTTTTAATTATGAATGGCTCTTCTTATTTTTTATCTGTAGTTGTTTTGAAAAAATTTTTTTCTTTTTGTTATTGTTGTTCTCACTCGCGTTGTTACTTATTATAATAGTTGACAGTTTGTTTTCCCTTTACAAACTAATTCTTCTGTAAACTGCTTGACTAAATGATCGTGAGAGGAAGGCCAAAAACAACTTTCTTTGCACCTATTCTTTAAACACTTTAATTTAACCAATAAATCCAGGAAGAAAAATAATGAAGCGGTAGAGGAAAATCTATGGCAATTTTGGGAAAAGCAATAGTGTTGGAAAGAAAAGATTATTTGCTTCACCTTTTATTGGATAATTTTGAATATCTGCTCTTTCTTTAACAGAGTTGTCGACAGCTGAGCTTTGCAGAAACTGTACCATTTTTTTGCTGAAACATTGAAATGAAGTAAAATGGTCTATAAAAACAATTAGTAATCAAAGGTACTAAAACTTGTATACTTACAATAATTGCAGGTATCGGCGAGAAAGTTACGCTGAACACTGCCGTGAAAATCAGAGTACAACTATGGCTCCTGCAGCAGCTTCCACTCGATATGATTCAGAAGTAAATAAGAGGTCTGTATCAGAGACAAAAATAGTGGTATTTTTTGTATTATTTTGATCAGTGGGCATGAAAATTAGTCACTTTTATACGGGCTAAAGAAGGTTTTATTTTTGCCTTATTTTTAACGGTTTGACAGAGCACCTTTAGAACAAAGCTTTCCTGTTATCACTATCGTTTTTTTTTTTTGATTAGGTCGAAAAGCCATTTTGTTTATATCTGTAACAACTTTTGAGGGAGCGTTTATGAGTTTTTTT